CAAAATTCTGAAATGAAATAATTCTGATTTAAAGTCATCTAGAGTTGAAAAGATTTTGAAGGAGTTCTGCTTTCCATCTCAGAAATGAACAGAACTTTAAATTGCTAGCAATAGCATAATATAAACTTTTATAATAGAAATTATCCAGGTCATAAACTCCTTATTTACTTAAACACCTGCATGACTCTTAAGTTGTTACTTTAGAACTACTGAGCAAAAAGTTCTTCTCAGGATCAACACTACATATTCTAGCTAAACATTTATCAAATACATTAACATTGCACAAATTCTCCCCCAGTAAAAACCCATGAGAGTACAAGGAGGTGACAGAATCTTCCAAAAATTGGGCTGCCATGTTATGGCTCGCAGATTATTGTAAAGCATATTAAAAGAACCTAGCAAATCTCATAATCGGTGGTGAAAGACAATTGCTTAGTCTGAATGATGAAACTATGTCCAGAAGAAACACAAGCTAGATTCCCCACTGTGATCACTACATCCCCCTTTCCGTTATCAGTTCTGTTATGCAAACACCAGCAAGCAAAAAATTCCACTCTGTGCTGAAAATGGATCTGCAGACACCTTGCTAGCAGCAGGCATCATGCAGCCACTCTAGCGTTGCTTACCATCTGTCGAGCATCCGCTGGTGCCATCACTGGAACAATAACGCATTTCAATCCTTTGCCTTCCCACCTCTAGCAAATTTGGGTCAGGCAAGCGCGCTTTGCAGGTGTATCGGAAACGTTGTTCGTAGTGGCCACCGTTGTCTGAAATATTGACTGGGGTCCAAGGTGTCCAAGGAGTTGTCTTTTTTAACTCTGGACAGGCGTTGGTATTACAAGGCTGATATTCCTGAAAGAAAATTGTTATAATGAATATAATCGTTAAATGTGACTTTAACCCCCCACCCCAACCCTCAGACAAAAAGACAACCAATAAAAAAGCCTCTGATATTTTCTCTAGCATTTCCAATAGCAGTGATCATGAATTAACTTTTAAATCTAATCTCAAACTGGAAATGTTTTTTTCTGCTTCTAGGCAAGCACAGTATCACACTGCTAAAAGCAATAATGTACCAGTACAAATTAGATCTATTACATCCATGAATACAGTAAGCTGAACACTATAAGTACCACGATAAAGCGCATCCCTTACAAATTAATAACGCCAAATAAGGTGTGGCTAAATAAGTTCAAGCTTTTAATTAAGAGGAGTTCTGATAAACTGCAAGTACAAGACACAAACTAGCAAATAATTCCTTGGTAAAACCTAGTGGCATATGAATAAGCAAACCACTGTCCATTTGTATATTGCTTATATGTTACAAGGGGACAAGGGACAAAAGATGTTTTCTATTACAGAATCCGTCTCCCTAAGGTGAATGTTACCCATAGCTCCAGCATTGTTAAACTTATCAACAGAAGCAAATTCTCTGTGGACTGATACGTACCAAAAGGAACAGACCACACCTAAGAAAAAAATGCAGAATTGCCAATATTCTCAAGCTCCACAATATAAGTCTTCTGACATATCATCAAGATCTGTAGGTCCTGCCCATACATTTCCCAGAGTATATTATGCTTCATCTGATGCAAGTGCTTTGTAAACCATATGGGTGAAATTAAGCAACCATTAAATATCAGAATAAATTCATACTGACAAATTATCAAAGACAAAAAGAAATAGGCATCAGTGGGACAATTTTTAAATGATCTCTCTACCTCTGACAGAGAGATACTCAGCAGAGGGTACCTTCTGAAAAGCAGCCTACTAATGTTTGTAATTCCACTAAATAGTAAAAAATATGGACGGAATAGAAATAATGGTTTTATCACAAAGTACAATCTCCTTCTTCCATAACCCCTACTCCAGCTGATACCACCATGTTCCAACAAGCAATAGATTACCTGCTCCTCTGTTTCCCATGGTGATAATAGCCTTTTATCTCCTACTTTCCTCAGTCCACTACCTCTTCTCTCAGATTGTCTAATTTATTAACATACCCAGTTAGGCTGAGAGCAATTGCTTTCAACCTATGCTTTGGTTTAAAGACTGTTGGTATTTCAGATCTAAAAGAAGCTTCTTTATCTGAAAGCTTTTCCAATTTTTCCATCTATTAAAGTTGGAAAAAAAATCATTCCCCAGAAACTGCTGCCTCACTAATACAGCAAGGGACCAGAGAATCCAGTGCTGTACTCAAGATACTCATGTTCTGAGGCCAGGTGGACTTGTGACAAACTTCCTGGTTTCATAGTTTTGTGATACTTTAGGCAAGAAAGAGCTCTTAGCCCAAAGACTTCAGCCGGACTACTCCTGTTCACTTCTCAAGACTGTGCAAAGTCCCTTCCTACCTTAAAACCTAGTAAGCGCTACAGCAGGGACCGCATGAGTCGTACTCGGGAACCTTCTATGAAAAGGGGTCCCTTTAAAGCACAGAGGACAGGATCAACCTTTCTGGGATCTGAGTTTCTGCCTTGACTGGTTTCTGAATCAGAATACAGCAAACAATAAGCAAACTATCTGGTCCTGTGCACAGCAGGGGAAGTAATTTCTTGATGACTCCAACAGGCAGCTGTTTTAAATCATGTGTGTTTTAGGCTGAGGACAGAACATATGGGACTGTTCTCCTTGTAGCACATGAACTGTAAAAAGGACATCATAAAATTAACAGATCCCAGCAACAGCCAGAACCACCCTGCTTGCTATCCCAACTGGCTGTTCACCTGCAACATGCAGTCACCTCCAGTGGCTGGATTACAGTGCATCTTTTAGCAAGAGCATCTGCCTTTCCCTCTTTCTTTTTTTTTTTTTTAAAGATGTCTAGCTTCTCCCCCCCCCCCCCCCCCCATCAGATGTTCCACTATTTAGTAATCCTCAAAGCTAACAAATTGCAAGTTAATTCATGGCTGCATTTTCCCCTTAACTTAATTTTCCAGTTACTGACTTTTGCTGCGTCTTTATCAACAACACTGGAAGTGTTCCTTGTCCCACACCTACAAAGAATTTTTTATGCCCAAGTACCCATACATAATGATAAACAAGGCTGAACTTCTTAAAGCTACATAGGTTTTAAAACCTGATCTCCAGGTCTGTACATCCCTATGTCTTCTTTTTGTCCTATTTCCTTATTTTCCTTAAGACTGAACACCACAATTTGACTTGTCACTCTAGAAGTAGTCTTATCAATACAGCATGCAGAGGCAATCATGACCCTGTTCCACTTGACAATCTGACTTTAATACATACATTATTGCATTAATGCTTTTTCTTTCCACAACATTGCACCAAGAGTTGAAGTAGACCCAATTATCTTTGATAACCTGTACTTCTCTAAATCACAGCTTTACAACTCCATATATTTTCCTATCCCACACAAGAGGTTGGTGTTTGGCAATATTAAAATATGTTTTACTAGCTTCTGCAATTATCTAGCATATTATTTACTACCTCAACAATCTCTGTCATGGTCAAGCTTTACTGAAGATGTCTTATATCACTGTCTAGACTGTTGATAAAAATGTTAAGTGCTATTGACCCAAGAACTCATTCCAGGCAGACCCTGCTAGACACATCCCAGTCATTTATATCTGTCCATTAACACCACATTTTTCAATTTGTCAGTGAGTCAGCTTTTAACGCATTTAACATTTGCTATATATTTCACTTTTTTCTAAATCAAAGCATTTTCTGTTACAAAGGCAAATGTCTTGGAAAAATTCAGTGACAGTCTGGGAGAAGTGCTGTATCAATTTCAAACATCTTGAAACACAAGCTTTTTTCTAGTAGCATATAAGCAGGAATAATTCAGTCAGTACAATAGCTACTACAATGTTCATATTAATATAGTCACAATGGTTTAAAAGTTTCAGTTCCTCATCTGCTGTTGATTTTTGTATTGACATTTTTCAATCAAAAATAAAAGCTGTTAGAAATGTGAGGTCTTTCTTTACTAGATACGGTGCAGACAGTTGAGGGTCATGTAAAGCAGAGTGTGTGAGATATGCAATGAACCATTTGTCAAAAATATGCAATAAGAAAGAAGTTAATTTAGTGGCAATGTATTGAATGTTGCTTTGCTAACACATGTCTGAGATGAACATGTCAGCTCACTCATTTCTAGAAAGATAGCCTACCAGTACTCAGTGTGCTTCAGGATGTGTCGTCCCTTCGTACACCCTACCAGAGGGTATACTCATATGTTGTTACATAAGCCAGAAGATAAAGGTGTTCCTTAAAAGTATCTATAGAAACGATTTGTTAGTTTTTCCTTTCTTCTTGCTTGATATGTAGCTTATAAGAAAGTTTGTCTGCTGTCATGCCTGTCTATTCCACCACTGGATAATGCCCATGAAAGGCTCAGAACGGCAAAGGGAACAAAAGTACATGCAGATTACCCAGAAAATATTTACCACAGTAAATCTGTCTCTGAGAAAATTCAAAGTAATATCCTAACGATGGATGTCTCCATGAAGTTCAGGCACTTAGTGACCTGGCAGAGCCTTCTGGCTTCTCTCACAAACAGCAAGTGCTGCACTGCTCTACCAAATACAGCATCTGCCACAGAGGAACTGAAAATCACATCGTACTTGATGAAAGCATTGATGTGCTCTGACGCTGCAAAACTTCCAATATGAGCAGAAAAATCACCTTGCTCTGAATGGTCTCAGATTTGGAAGTCAATAAAGGAGGGGAGACAGAAGGCACAATCCAGATCACACATGCATCTATTTAGTGCTGCTAGCCTGAAGACATTGGAAGGATTTGTCAGGGACTGGGAATACGGAAACTATCTCTGCTTAGATTATGCTCCTCTTCTTACCGTGTCCATGCTTGAACAATTTACTCAAGTGGGATTTCAGGCATATGGCCCTCTCCAAAGCAATTCTACCAGGACAACTAAAATGTTATTTCTGAAACGTCTTATTTCAAACTGGAGAAGACCGTTGCTAAATAATGTAGAATAAATTTCTACTGTTTTCTTATGGAGGACACGGAACACACCAATTTTTTTGTCTCTGCATATCCACTTTAGTCACATTCCTGAAAATTTTGAGACTCTCTTGAGACTTTTACTCCTAGTTTAAGTTTGAGTTTAATTAACCAAACACCACAATAGCCTGATACCTCCTTAGGAAATTAGGCTAAAATCTTATTTACATTTGAACTACAATTTTTTATATAAACCAGAATTCAGATAAAGGCTTTATTCCCATTTATATTACATGTTTATATTACGGAGGGATTTCTCCTAACAAACTCTTATTTCTTTGATGTATATAGTATGACTATGTTGAATGCACTTCTTTCACTCTTCTATGTGTTTTTCTTTCTTGCCTGTTACTGTGAGAGACTATCTTCACAAGACAGCTAAATCAACATTAACAGTCCATTTAAATATTTTCAGCCCAACAGTTATCTTTTATGATTTGCTTTTAATATATTGTATTAGTTCTTGAATATTCTTTTGGAATCAACAAACAGTCCATTGATAAAAAAAATATTTATAAATTTTTGCTTTCTGTTCACCACCATTTGTGTGGTCTGAAATATTTATTTAATTTTTCAGATATTAAGACACCAAAAGAAAAGAATGTCGTTGATTCATAAACTGAATGGTGTAGTATGTCACCTGGTACAAGAACAGGGCTGTAAGATAGAAGAACCTGAGTCTTTCAGCCGTCTCCCAAGCTTTGAATTTGTCACAGCACTTTATAGCTAAAGGAAAGGATCTCCCTCACATGCAATCAAAAAAAAAAAAAAAAAAAAGGCCAAAATGAATATAACAGTGTCATAAAACTCAAGAGAAAAACAGTTCTGAATTATAGGGGGCTTTTTTTACACATCGAAACATG